ACAGGACCTGCAGCCCTGATGCCTGATGCCTGGTCTGGAGTTCCAGGGCATGCAATGTGGCGGGGCTCCCAATATGCCACCCCCCACACACATACACACACACACACACACACACACACACACACACGGCTCCCAATATGATGCCACACCCTACACACACACACAAGGCTCCCAATATGCCACCCCCACCACCACACACACACACACACACACACACACACACACAGAGCCAGAAACCTCAGGGACAGGACAGAGGGCTTCTTAGGAACACCAGACAGGAGTTCTTGGCCCATTTGAAGGCAGGGGCCTGTCCTTCTTTCAGACTGCATGTAGACAGTAGCTCTGGAGGCGTAGGGGCTTATGGGTTGGGCTACTAAATGCAAGGTCAGCAGTTCAAATCAACGAGTTGCTCCTTGAGAGAAAGCTGAGGCTTCCTGCCCCCGTCAAGATGCAATCCCTGCCATGGAGTCAATGCCGACTCACAGCGACCTTATGGGACCAGGACTGCCCCTGCAAGTGTCTCAGCTGTAACTGTTTATGGGAGTAGAAAGCTCTGTTTTTCCCGAGGAGCAGCTGGAGGTTTCAAACTACTGACCTTTCGGATTGCAGCCCAACACATAACCACCATGCCACAGCCTTGGGAAGTCACATGGGACAGTTCTGCTCCATCCTGCAGGGTTGCCATGAGTCAGCATGGACAGGAGGGCAGTGCACTTCCGAGTTTGTGCCATTTTTTGCCAGTCCTTGACCCAGTGGAAGTGCTCAGGAACTTCTATGGGGTAGCTACAGCTGCTCAGAGATAAGAGATAGTGGTTGTGGGCCACGCATGTGTATTCCAGCAATATCACGCACATACCTGCAGGCACCTGAATACGAGTACCTTTTCCAGGCTACTGCCCATTTCAAGCCCTGGGTATAAGATGCAATTAATGAACACACCTGTGGCAGTTATACTTCATCTCCTGTCAACTTGAGGGAAGGGGTGGAGTCTAGCCTGTCGATCAGGTCATAGCCAACGGTGCCTCTGTGTGGGCATGGCCTTCTCCTGAGGATTCTGGGAACTCCGGTCTTCCTACCTGGAGGCAGGACACACTCTCTCTCTGCCTTCCCTTTCCTGATGTTGAGAACTTGGAGAGCTGGAGGAGCCACACGGAGACCCACGCCTTCACAGCCACTGCATCCGCAAGGCTTTGCACCCACCGGCCCGTGGCCTTCCTGCATTTGGCATCACTGCATGTGCTGCGTGAGTCTAAAGAGAAATTTCTGGACTAGTATTGGGCATATGGGCTAATATTGGACTTCGGGACTTGATCGGGACTGGGCTGGAATGTTTTCTCAATATACGATTGCTCTTGCATATAAAGCTCTTTCTTATACACATTTGAGTGTCTATGAATTTGTTTCTCTAGTCCACCCAGACTAACACACCACCCTGAGTAATGTCCGTGCCTTGTTCTGCGATTACAGCCAAACTGATCTTTATTTATTGTACTTTATTTCCTATTATTTGGATCTGGCTTCTGGCTGGAAGTCAGTCTGAATTTCTAGACAGGCATCAGCTCAAAATTTGATGTTTTCCGCTTTGTGTTTGTACAAGATATATGAGATTCGTGCACTTCCCATTGGTGGAGCTGGGGGGGGCTCTCTCTTTTGAACTGGAGACCAGCTCAGAATGTAACAAACCCCTCAGACTCCCTGTCAGCAAGTCAGTTCTGACTTATAGGGCAGGGGGGTTTGCCTCTCTCTTCACAGGAGTGGAAAGCCTCATCTTTCTCCCATGGAGCAGCTGGTAGTTTTGAACTGCTGACCTTGCAGTTAGGGCCCCAATGTGTAACCACCAGGCCTCCCAACCTAAGAATGTATAAAGGCTTGTCAAAAAGCAAAGGGGAGTAAAACATTATTCAGTTCTCGAAACCAGAGGGCACTTTACAAACAATGAATAGGCTTCACATGGGAATATTAGGGAGTATTCTGTTCTTATGGGAATGGAGGAAAGTAGCCAAGCGCCAATCACAAAAGGACAAGTACGGCACTACTGTTATAAGGGGGGGGAGGGGGAGAAAAGATAGACTTTGGAGATTGTCAACAGGGGGTGGGGTGGGAGGGGGGGCAATGACAAGGGAAGAGAATGGGCTAAGCCAGGGGTCGGCAAACGTTTGAGAATGAAGCACCAACCCTGTCCCTCGCTACAATGTAAAGATCATTTGAGAGCCCTAAATATATTTTTACAACAGATGCAATCACCATTATCTGAGTAATATCCTTTAGAATTTTTCAATCTTACTCCAGAGCCATATGTACGTACGGACCGAAAGAGCCGCCTACGAAAGAGCTGTCTATGGCTCTCTCGAGCCACAGCTGTGCTGACCCCCTGGGCTAGACTGGATGGGCATTCACTTGGGTGAAATGGGAGAAGAGATCGGGAGAAGGAAAATCAAGGAGTGGGTGAAGGGTAAATATCGGGGGTGGGTGATTAGTAGTTTATAAACGGTTGCATACAAACTAGATGATCCAACATGAAAAACCTTGCCTACTTCACGATAAATAAAAATTGTCATAAAAATAAGGGAAGCTGACTAAAGGCAAACAAACAAGCAGACAGTAGCCAGCTGCTCGTTTGAATGGCAGGCACCAAGAAGAGAAGCGGGGACCCAGTCCCTGGAAAGACACACCTGCTCTCGTGACGCGGCCCTAGCCCCGGATCCAGGAGGAGGCAAAGGGGCTAATTGATCCCAGAGCAGCAACCATCCCCACACCCAGCAGAGCCCTGGGCACCTGCTCTCAGGAGAGGAGCCACTGCTACCCCGTCCTCGGGATTCTTCAGGATGGCTGCTCGCAGACTTTGAACCCACAGCCCCAATGGCCAAGCACCCATGGAAACACGTCCCTGTGAACGGGAGCGGGGAGCAGGAAGCAACTCAGTCCCCGCCTGGCCTTTGTCCAGAGTCCCTGGTTCCAGCCAGGTGGATTCTCGCCTCCTCCCTCCCACTCAGCCGCCACGAGTCACCCTGGCTTTCTAGAAATTCTCTAGAACTTCATTCTCCTGCATCCCCTTCCACCTACAGAGTCCAAATGCCTTCTGAACAAGGCACACCACGCCCTTCCTCAACCAAATCCTCACGTGCCTCCCTGGACTCACTGTTTCCCGGGCCACACTCCTCATCCAACCCAACACCCTATGCGCGGCGGCAGACAGCAGAGCGATCTTCAGTACCCCATCTACATCCTTTCCTCCATGCCATTGGCACATGCTGTTCCCTCTGCCTCCAACGGCTTTCTCCACCTTCTTCAACTGGCAAACTCCCAAGGCTTCCTCAATCGCCTTGCTCTGGCGCCTCTTCCGAGATGCCCCTTCATTTGACTGTTCATTGTAATACCCCAGATGACCACAGAGGGCAGAATCCTTGTGTGAGAAACTACTTTAGTGCCTGACTACCTGTGGCAGGCAACTCAGGACATACTGATAGAGACCAGAGTATAGGCCAAACGAGGAGCTTTAGGATCAGAGAGACCGAAGTTCAACCTTCTCTCTGTTATTTCTTTACCTTCATGACCTCTCAAACCAGATCAAACTCACTACCACCAAGTCCATGCCAACTTCTAGCCACCCTATAGGGCTTGGTAGAACCGCCCCTGTGAGTTTCTGAGACGGTCACTATGTATGGGAGTAGAAAGCCCGCTCCCACAGAGCAGCTGGTGGTCTCAAACCATCGACCTTTTGGGAGGACTTGGAAAAGCTATTTAACTTCTTAGAACCTGAGGCTATAAAATGGAAATTATGAATCCAACGCCTTAGAACAGAACCCTCTACCCCTCCCAGTCCCATGACAGACATCACTAATCAATTGCTGTGCTGTTCCCATGGAGTCAGGCCAGGCCAGGCCTGGGATGGTGGTCAATGTGGTGTTCAAGGCAGACCTGCCGACCACGGAGCCGGCGCAGACCGCAAAACCCACTTCCCATCTCAAACATGCAGTGAACGCAGAGAGCATTCAATATCACAGTCGACTCAAGCAGACCATCCCCAGTGAGTGGAACCCATTAATATTTTATTTCCTCGGGTGTAAGGCGGTTTGATGCACCACTGACCTAATATGTGTTGGTGGAGGTGGAGAAACATTTCCACGCTGAACGTCCTCATCCTTTGCAAAGTGCATCCTGGTTTCAAATAAATTAAAATGTGGGCAAGGCGAGTCTCAGAGCAATCCCGTGAGATGGTCCAGTGAATGACCACCGGAAGAGGTGCCCGGCATTCTGAAAAGCGCTCTCACCTAAGGGTGTCTTCCCAACTCCACGCAAGCCCCTGGCTGCTGGAGTATCGAGCAGAGGCCCAGAGGAGCAGAGCCAGAGTTCATCAGCTGTTGATCGCTCTGCCAGCGGCATCAACAGCCCTCAGCAGAGGTGTCTGCCCTGTCCCCTGCCGAGCTTCCAGAAGGAGCGTGGTCCTGCCACAGCCTTTTCTAAGAGTCTCCCTGATGCTGCCGGCGGAATGGTTTGGGAGGCAACTCCAAGTCCAGTTACACTGGGGAATCCATTTCTAGAGCTCCCCCCGCCCCTGCCCCATCGTGTGTCAGGGTGCTGAGGTTGGATGTAAGAGCCCGGGCTTGAGAGTCAGAAGGCTCCGTCACCTACTGTCTATGTAACTTTGGCGAGCTTCTCAAACTTCTGGGGCCCGCCTCCTCTTGTGTAGAATGGGGGTAACTACCCACGGTGCCCAACTGTTGCGAGGATTGGATTCGTTCGTGTAGATGCAGTGCTTAGTGCCCAACAAATGGTTGTCACCGCTTTCACTGCTTGTGAAGAAACGTTCCCACACGCCATTGCGGGAGCTCACAAACCACTACCGGAGGGGCGAGGCCCCAAGAGGGAGCACCAAGGAAGCGCACAGGCAACGTTGCGAGAGAAAAGCAACAAGCTCTCAGGAGGAGGGGGGTCTTTCCCGGGATTCAAGTTCCGTTTAAATCCAAAGATGCTCAGAGAATTCAGCCAAAGGTACTTACAGGTGAGACAGGGAGGTCACATCAGCAAAGATGCCCTCTGGGAGGGTGGAGACATCGTTGCCGTGGAGGGACCTGAGCAGAGAAGAGGCCGTTGGAATCATTCCGGAGACGGAGATGTGAAAAACAGATGTAGAAAATGCTCAGTCCACTGCTGAGAGCGGGCTTGTCCTTCCGATCTCTCAGTCAATGACGAGGGAGAGGGCCCCAGCTTAGAGTCCCCGTCCTTCTAGCCACAGAGGAGGGAAGAAGGAAACCGCCCACAACCCAGGCAGACCACCCTGCCCTCAGCCCTTAGGGAGGACTCTGGGCTGGCAACCATCAGTATTTCCAGCACACTCTTTATATCAAAACGGAGTGTGCTTCCCTTAGTTCCTCCTTCAACCTTTCTGGTAAGGCGGTTAGTGCCACCAGCCGTAGGGTGCAGCTGGAAGAATGTCACCTTGTCTGGTTTGGGACCGAAAAAGGATTCATGCATGAATTCCTCAGAGCCACCACAACAGACATAACAGAAGGCTCTGGTCACAAGGCAACACCTTGCGGTGGGGGTTCTTAGGGGGGAAAAAAAGATTCACAAATCTCTTGCAAGCAAACACTGTCAACGTGAACAGAGGCCTCAAAATGAGGAGCTACCTTATCTTGGATGCTCCCTGCCCTCCCTGCAAATACAATGTGGGGAGACAGTCACCCCTACTTCTTAAATGCTTCTCCATCCATTACTCAGCTCCTGAAGGGGTTCTCATGAGAGAGCCCAGGTCTCCCACCTCAGGTCACCGCCTGGGCCATGTTGAGTCCCAGGAATGTGGAGGTTTCTGCCCTCCAGACAGGAGGGGGCCCTCCGTGGGGCAGATTCCCCTGAGGAATGGTGCTCTGGGGGTACTTACAGCAGACGCAGGGAGCGGAGCCCTTGGAAAGCCAGGGGTGGGATGCACTGGAGCGCGTTGTAGCTGAGGATCCTGCAGGAGGAGGAAAGGCCCACAGTTACTGCACCGGGGCTCTGCAGGTGGGCAACACAACACCCAGTCCCTGCGGTCCGGAGAGTAGCTTTGCTCAGCAGCCTCCTCCTGCTATCTGAGAAGGGACAGAGCTGTGGGCCCCACGCAGGCTGGAGGCTAACCGCCCGTCCAGCCATATCCTCTGGGGCATCGCCCCTCCCCTCTTTTTGCCAGTCAGTTCCTCCAACTGGAAGCAGTGACAGTAACAATGTCAATTATATAGGGCTCTTCAGGGGCCTGCATGAGACAACCCACCCCTTAGCCCCAAGCCTGGCCCTCAGAGAAGGGGCAGCATCCAGGGGTACTGGCAGGATCCCCTCTGAAGTCAGCCCAGAGGCCAGGGCCCCCTTGGGGGAGCTCACTCCCCATCCATCATTTCCAAACAGGAAGGAGGTCGGGCCTAGGTGATCATGTCACCCTTAGAGAAGTGTGATGGTGAGGAAGCGCCCCCCCCCCCAACCAACTGATCCCCATCTTCTGGATGAGGAACTGAGCATCTGTGAGTTGAGAGCATTTTCCTCAGGGTCACAGTTAATGAGACGCTAAGCTGAGACTTTAATCGGGCTTCTCGGTTCCCAGGGTCCAGGCTAAACCACGTTCCTAAAACACCCCAAACGAATAGCTGCATCAAGAGTGGACAGTGGCGAGGAAACGATGCCGGCAGGAATCCAGACTGGAGACAGTCCAACGTCCATCCACACAAGAAGGGGTACCCAGGCTGCGGTCAAGTTGTCGCCCAGAATCCGACTCGGCTATGCCGAGGCATAAAGTGCGGGCTCACGCCACCGGCCCGATGAACCTGGGAACAATTCTGCCGCAGGAAGGCGGCCAAGTGGGAAGAGTGTACCCCGCAGGACCCCATGAACGTTTAAGCGTCTAGCAAATGCCAACTCATCTATAGGGACAGAAAGTGGATCTGCGGCTGCTTGGGGGGAGGGCTGAGAGGGGCAGGAGGGAAGATTGCCAAGGGGCACAGGAAGCTCTTGATGGTGGGGATGGCTCCAGGGGGTGCACATATGCCAGGACGTACCAAGGTGTACCCTCTAAATGCGTGCAGCTCGCTGCCTGTCAGCTGTACCTCTCCTGAGACCTTTGAGGCTGGATAACCTTTTGTTGTGGGGGGGTGTCCTGGCTACGGTGGGATGTTCTGCGTGCGGCGTCTCTGGCATCGACCTGCTAGATGCCAGTATCCTGTCCCTGCCCCCCTAAGTTGTAACAACCCCCGATGCTTTAAGATCACCAAATGTCCTGGGGGCGGGTGAGGTAACCTCCCCACCTTCCCCAGAGAAACAGGACTTTAGACCAGGGAGACTTCACACATAGGCTCACTGGGACCCCAGGCGTCCCTCCAAAGCCAAGTTTCACCAGGGATAAGCAACCAAGCTTGCAGACTGTCAGGGAGACTTTGAAAAGCGAACCGGTTGACTAGTACATCAGTGGAGCGAGCATCTCATGGTCTCGGGCCCACACTCTGCTCCAGGGGCCTGGCTGGGGCAGGAATCTTTTCCTTTCTGGGTCACACTGCTTAGCCACATGGAAAGTCCTAGACTTCTCGGCACATGATCTGTTCAAGGGGATGCTGGGAAGGTGAATGAGATACATTTATAAGCATCAGGCAAGTTTATAAGTTAATATGGGTAATACTTTGTGACTCTCGCTGAGACAATCATGAACGCCAGCCTTCAACTGGCTTAGGAGAATGGACACAGACATGTTCAGAGAACCCCTGCTGACTCAAGTTCAACTGGAGACAGTTCAAAGAGCCATCAACAGTATTGACAGGCACAGACCACAGCTGCTCACGGCAGCATAATGCGTCTCAGAGATGACGTGTGAAGCAAAAGAAGACAAATATGAGTATGTGGTATGACTCCATTTCTAGAAGGTTCAAAAACGGCCAACACCAAACTAGCTTGTTTAGAAATGCCTAGGTCAAGGGCGACGCTGTAAGGAAAATCACGGAGCTGATCATCCTAAGGCAGAATGGGGGCCTTCTGGGGCCGGCGAGAAGCTTGAGGTGGGGCACAGGGAGGCGCCTGGGCTGCCGGCAGGTCTCTGGTTTCTGCAGACAGGGTTCTAGTGTTAGCTTTATGATCCTGGGTTACCCTGTGGGGTTTTATTCCTGGCCCACAATTTCCCTGCATGTGCTGCCCTCTTCACAGTTAGAAATGCTTTCAGAAAGACTTGCAGGCTTACAGGCTTAGGCACCCCTTGTCCGCGGGACGGGCGGGGTGGCCATGCACAGTAGCACTTACCACTTTCAATGTGTGCATCTTGTTGACTATTGGCCGAGGCCACCTCCCCTCACCCCCCACGCGGGGACTTACAGGGTGGTCAGCTGGCTCATGTTGGTGAAGGAAGAATTGCTTAAGGAGCTGATCTTGTTGTTACTCAGGTCCCTGAAAAAGACAAAGGTGTCACCTTTCAGAAAGAAAGACAACCGCGATCCTGGCTCCCTTTCAGCCACTGCTCTCCCCCTCCCCCGCTCCACCCTCCCCACCCAGCTGGGTGAGAGGCTCACTGGGCTTCCCTGGAGGAACCAGGCTACGGCCATGGGCCTCACTGTGCTTCTGGCCTCCCCCGAGCCTCCCAAGGCTCCCAGTCTCCATTTCTGCAGTCTCTATAGCTGCGAGCCCACGGTGCCTGGAGCCTGGCCCACGGCACTGCTCTGTGCAAGGGGCACAGCTACGAATCTAGTGGGGTCCTCTCGGCTCTCTCTGGCCAACACTCTAGGGAGGCTGGTTCATTAGTCCTCCGTTCATCCCTAGGATGGGGAGACAAAGGAAGACATGGGATTTCAGAGTGATTAAATAACGTATCCAGGACCGCGGGCTGGATCCAGAGTTCGCGTTTGGCACGGCTGACCAGGCTTCTGCGTCATCTCAAAACCCCTCTCTCCTGGATTGTTATCTTCCCCTTGTGCCCTCAGTTCCGGGTGGCGGATTCTCGCCCCCTCAGTCCTGCCCCTGCTTTTCTGAGGACCCCAAGTGGTGCAGCAGTGACATGGTGGGCTGCTAACCACAAGGTCAGCAGTTCGAATTCACCAGGAGGAAAGCAATGCTTTCTGCTCCCGTAAAGAGTTAGGGTCTCAGAAACTCACAAGGGCAGTTCTCCCCGGTCCTAAGGGGTCCCGGTGGGTCAGAATCAACTCCATGAGAGTCATTTTGGTTCTTTGGCTTGATCCAGTCCAGGTGTCCTGGGGTGAGGGTGGGGGTACTTCTGGCTTCCCTCACCATCCTGGACCAGGGCACCTGCCTCTGCCTTCCCATGAACACCTTCTCTACCTTCCGTCCTACAATCTGTCACACTCAAGTCCGAATCGTGGCCTCCACCCCCACCCTGCCTGCGTCCCGGTCCCAGTGGATTGTCCCAATCCAGAGCCACAGCCCGCCCCCCTGCCCCTCTCTCGTTCCACGCGGGCTGGGCTTGAGGTCTCACACGTGTGCCTCTGTCCAGGGCTCATATCTCTCCCCTGGTCTGTCAGCTATCCTGACCCTCATCTCTCCACCCGCAGCTCTGCCCGTTCCAGTGCGCCCTCCCCCTGGGTGGGAACCACAGCAATCTTTCTAGGACACAAATCTGAGTTCCCTTATGCCTGAGGGGTGACCTCCAGACTGACTCATTTGCCAGTGGCCTATCAGGGGCTCCATGGTCTGGCCCCGGCCTCTCCTCCTATTCCTCCCCCACACTTTCCCAGTTTTAGCTGCACCATTTCTTCACATTCTCCGAGCATATCACCCCTCGGTGGGAGCCCTGAGGGGTAGGGTTAGGCACTGGGCTGGGGGAACCCACAGGTCAGAAGTGGCAAACCATCAGCCAGCTCCACGGGGGAAGTCGGGGCTCTCTACCCCCACGAAGAGCACAGTGTTGGAAACCCACAGGAGGCAGTTCGACCCTGTCCTACAGGGTCCCTGTGAGTCGGACGGACTCGATGGCAGGGAGTTAGGTTTGGTCTGGGCCATAGCCCTGTGCCTCTGGCGATCTTGCTCCTTGCGGCCGGCCACCTGGGGAACACTCCCTTGTTTTTCAGGCCACGTCATCTGCTCCCACTCCTCTCCCTGCATCTCTCCGCCCCCGACCACAGCATTCCCAGGGGAAGGCCCAGGCCTGTGACTTAGGCGCTGCTATAGCTACTTCATTAATGGGGCTCTCGGTTCAATACATGCTTGTAAAATGAATCCGCGTCCCCTGGCTTCATGGCCTCTCAGTCAACATTCCTCTCAGGGACCACATTCCCAATCTTGGCACTGCTCTTTCAGAAACACTGACAGAGGGTGTGGAACAGTCCGTGTACTTTGTGGTCCTTCCCCATGGACGTCAGCCGCCACGAGGCAGCTTTCACGGGAAGGCCTGGCCCAACCTCAGGCCAGGGTGGGGCTTCCCCAGTGGGTTTCTGAGATTGTGACTCTTTTAAAATCATTTTATTGGGGGCTCTCGCAGTTATAACAATCCATACACTAAGGGTATCGAGCATATTTGTACATATGTTGCCATCATCATTTACCAAGCATTTTCTACTTGAGCCCTTGGTATCAGCTCCTTTTCCCCCTCCCTCCCCGACCCTTCCACCCTCATGAATCCTTGATCAATGATATATTGTTATCATTATTTCATGTCTTACACTGTCCGTTCTCTCCCTTCACCCACATTTGTTAGTCGTCCCCTTCGTGGGGTGTGTGTGTGTGTGTGTGTGTGTGTGTGTGTGTGCTATAAATCCAACCTTGTGGTAGGCTCCTCCTTTCTCCCCCTCCCCTTGTGATATCGCTACTCCCACTACTGTTTCCGAGACTGACTCTCAGTGGTAGCAGAAAGCCCCGCTTTCTCCCGGGGCACGGCTGGTGGTTCCAAACCAGTGGGCTTTGCAGCTAGCAGTCCACTGGGCACCACTATGCCACCAAACTCCATGCTCAATCATAGGTGCCACGGTTCGTATTTGGGCTGGGTGCCAAGTTGGGCTGAGAAACGTTTCCCACAACCCTACCCGTTTTGCCCTGGTATCTGCTTTTTCAAGGATGGCCGTCCTCAACAATGAGGGTCAACCTAGAGGGAGCTTGGGGAGATGGTAAGAGGGAAGCAGGCAGGAGAGACGAGAACAGTGCAATTCACAAGGATGGCCACTAGGTGGCAAAACAAGTCTACGCACAGATGTCCCCAGAGGCAGGTGGGCACTGCCCTGCAGTTGGGTCTGGAGAAAATCCCAGAAAAAGGCTGGACCGTACATAGCTAGATGCCAGTGGCCCTCATATCCCCTAAGGCATGTCCTGGATCCACAGGCAGGCCGGATACTCACACAAGCTGTAGGTACTTGAAGGTGGACAGCTGCCCCGGAACCAGTGTGAACTGGTTCCCGTCCAAATAGCTGCAGGAGAGAACAGAGTGAGGTTACCACACCCCTCTTCACCTGGGGCAGTGCCCGTGTGCCAGGAGCCCCTTCCCCTGCAGCCAGGGCCTTCTCCCTCAGCCCCCTCCTCACACAACCTGCCCGGAATCACTTATCAGAAGAGGAAACAGCTAAATCTTGGGGACCAATTGGGTCGGTGCCACTCAAAGAACTTGGTAAAAGCCACTGAGACGCTCGGTCCTTCTTGACTTCCTTCCCGCCTTCCATGTCTGGCCCTGCCCTGCCTGCCCTCTCCCTGTTGGCTCCTCTAGCTCCAAATCCGTCAATCTGCCAGTCACACTTATCAGGACCACCTGAAGGCTGATCATCTACAAGGCCCCCTCCCACCTGCCGGGCTGGGCGTGGGGCCTGTCCAGGGGAGCCCCAGACCAGCTTCCCCTGATCCCGTCAGCACCACAGTGCTTTCCCAGCCATCTGATTCAGAGCGCCTCGGCAGCCAGTCCCAGGCCCGGTGTCTTCCTCCCACAGGTACCTCTCGCATCACCCAGGTGCTCACTGTTGACCCCCGCCCCACCCAGCCTCCTGCAGCTAGCGGCCTTCTCAGGTCCCCCACCTGGGCCTCGCTGGAGCCCACTATACACACCACCACCCAACTCATCTCCCTTCAAGCCTAGCCCACCACAATGCCCCTCAGCCCAATGCTCGGTATTCTCCATGCTGACCCCACCCCGCCAGCTATCCCTGTCCCGTGACTGGAGGTTGCTAAGCTGTGACCCAAGTGCTAGGAGCGGAACCAGGATCCAGCTCCCCGCCACCCCACCCCAAGCAACTCAATTCCATCCCTCTCCCCAGCAAAACGGGAACCACCACCACCAGGCTTCTTACCCATTGCTCTGCAATCTAAAGTAAGCTTCTCTCCCCGCCACCCCCTCCTGCCCCCGTCTCATTTGATCCCCTTGACAGCCCTGTCAACCGCCCAGGGGAGCCTCAACGGACAGCTGAGGAGACCCAGGCCTGGGGAAATCAAGTGATTGTCCCAGCCTCTGAACGTCACCTTCCTCTGTCCCGTCCACGCCCACGCCCATATACCTAGGGCTGCCCAGGTGCTGAGAAGCTGTGGCGGCCCTGTGGGCGAGGCACTGGGCTGCTAATTGCAAGGTTGGTGGTTCGAACCCCTCAGTCACTCCCCAGTCGCAAGAGAGGCGGCTATCTGCTCTCGGAGAGCTTTGCAGTCTGGAGACCCTACGTAGGGGCACTGAGAGCTGGAATTGACTTGGTGGCAGGGCATGGGTGGCTCTGGCCCTGCCAAAGTGGAAACCAGGCCACATGGGGTTTGCAGAACGCTGAGAGGCCCGTGGACGGCAGGAAACAGACAAGTCTGTGCTGGAGGAAGCCCAGTCAGAAAGCACCTTGGAAATACGGGCAGCAAGGCTCCCTCTCTCACGTACTCGGACAAGTACCTAAGAGACCAATGCCCTAGAGCAGGAAGTCACACTCGCTGAACGAGTCAGCAAAAAAGAGGGAGGCTGTGGGTGAGCTGGAGGGACGCTGTTGGGGGCTGACAGTGCTTTGTGCTGGTGTTCACGCGGTCACCTTGGGCAAAGCTGACCCAGCAGCAGCGGGCAGGGCAGCCCCCCGCAGGAGGAGGGGCCAGTGTGCACATGCTTGTGACTACCAGGCCTCCTCACTCAGTCCCCAAAGGCCTGCAAACCAGAACTTTCTGTGCTCCCCACTGGAAGGAAGCACTCAGCTGGAGAGGCACGGGGGGTGGGGGGGGGAGGGGGTGTCAGTCCCCCAGCACACAGAGGAGTCAGGGGCCGAGGCCCCACTCGGGCGTATCAATCAACAGCCACACTCCACAAGAGCCTGGTTATCGAATTGTCCACGACTTCCGCAGCACAACACTCAGCACTGACAGGAGGTGGCCAGAGGGACCTGTTCACACACAGGGGTGGGGGGTAGGGGTGGGGAGGGCCGAGGGTGTGACCTTGAAAGGGCTAGACATTCATGCTCTCTGACCTGCTGTTCTGTCACAGGTGACTGACGGTAGTGGAAAATGGGAAACAACTGAAAAATCCAGCCAAGGGGGATCTGCTGAATGGATTACGGGCGATGCACCTTGATGGACAACAGGTGACCAAGGAGAGCTTTCCTGGGGGGAGGTGGGCATTGCTGCTCAGGAGATGAGGCCAAGGGAGGAAAGCAGCACTGTTTCTAACTTTAAAGGTAGCGTTGATTTGTTATGTTCGTTGAGGTGTGTATCTTTCCGAACTTTCCATGGCTCTATCTGGCTTGCTGTTGCTGGGCACTGGGCGGTCGGTCGACTTGTCTCCAGCTCCCACGTGGCGGGGGAGAACTGCCGCCAGAAGGTTTTCTTGACTGTCATCTTTATGGGAGGAGGTCTCGTGGCGCAGTGTTTAAGAGGTGGCCTGCTCACCACGAGGTCAGTAGTTCGAAACCACCAGCCACTCCACGGAAGAGAGAGGAGGCGTTCTACTCCCAGAAACAGTGACCGTCTCAGAAACTCACAGGGCCAGATCTACCCTGTCCTATAAGCCTATAAGGTCACTAGGAGTCAACATCCGCTCGTGGCAGTGAGCTTGGTTGTCGTTTTAAATCTTTATGGGAGCACATCTCCGGGTCTTTTTGCAGTGGCGCCTATGGGTGGATTTGAACTACCAACCTTTTGGTTAACAGCTGAGCACCAAGGCAGAGCTTAATTTAATGGGGTGAGCCTTGGCCGTGGGTTGCTGGGGCCTTCAAATGTCCCTGCAGAGGAGACTCAGGGAGAAGCCTTCTTGGAACCAGGGTTTTCTGCAAAGCCTTAGCCCCGAGCTCCTGCTCAGCTACTTGTTGCTCCTGGGGACTCACCACCTTGTGCTGTTGCCAGGGCTGCCCCCCTGGGGAAGTGCCCCTCCCTCTGTCATCCCAGGAACCCCCCCCCCCCAGGGGAGATCTCTGTGGCTACTCACAGCTCTGTGACATTCTTGGGGACACCCTTGGGGAGGGCACGGAGGTGCTTGTTACTGCAGCGCACCACGGTGTCCAGGCAGGTGCACTCCTGGGGGCACTGGGGGCGGGGCAGGCAGCCTGTCTCCTCTTGGCCTAGGGAGGAAGGCAGGAAGCTGGGCATCAGTGGGGGGGTGGGAGCACACACAAGCTTGCTGGCAACCAGGGGCCCCCCTCTGTGCTGTCAGAGCTGCAGACCCTCTCTGACCACACCTGGCCACTGGGCACTCCCCCCACCCTCCCCGTTTCTCCTTTGCTGTTTTCACCTGGGATCAGGGCCACGGCCCCCAGGACTTGTTTCCAGGTAAAAGCAGACTGGGGTGGGTCTCTCAGGGAGGAGGCCCGCAGGGAAGGGGGAGGGCAGCCTGCCATTGGGGGCCCACCCTGTCTGACATAACCTCGCTAACAAAGCACTAGAGGGGCGCCAAACCACCCCCTGGCATGCGAGCACCCCGGGGACTGAGACTTTGGGGTTTCCACCTTCTTCGGCTGTCGGTGCAGCGTCTAGATTGGTGGGCCCAGCATTCCCTAAAGGCAGGTTTTGAACAAACGAACAAATGACACCCTTCCCATTTCCCCCCACCGTGATCTAGCCCAGGGGAGGAGGTCCTCGGATTAGACGCTGTTGGCTGTGGTGGTCTCTGGAGGGATAGAGAAACCGTGATGTCCTGATGTCCGGGTCCTTCTCTTAGTCACACCTCTGCCACTTCAAAATGACAGGACTTGATCGTTCCAATCACAAGAAGATGCCTCCAGGCAGGGGGCGACCCAGAAGGAGGCGGGGCGGTCTCACCCATCCCTGCAGACCTCTCCACTCAGCTGCCGGTCAAGGGCACTGCCTACCCTGCCCCCTGACCAGCCCCACCCGGTTGACCCCATGGTGGCCGCCAGAGAGGCCCCCGAGTTACCTTCCTCACACCTGAAGTCTGGGAAGGCCACGTCCTGCAGGGGGATCTGCCGCAGGAAGTCTGGATGCTGGCATCGCGGGTTCCCGGTCACAATCTTCCTCTTCCGCAGCCAGTCCCCGAGCCAAGCCATCTGGCAGTTACAGTTGAAAGGGTTGGCCAGGAGGTTTCTGCAAAGGGCAGGTTGTTGGACTGTGGCTGGCTCCCTGCCGGCCGGTCTCGGATGTCCCAGCCAAGCTCCTGCCTGCCCGGAACAGTACTGCTGGCCACGCAACACCCCGCACTCTTCCCAAAGACGCAGCCAGAAAGACAGACTTCTGGAGTCCAGAGACAAGGCTCACTGACACCCTAAAGAGGTGACACGCGGGCGCCACTGAACACGGGGCCCAAGACCCGAGTGAGTCCTTTATCGGAACCACCCCGCAGGAGGCCCCTGCCACGGTGCTGCCCTGCTCAGCCACTCCCGGGACTCCTTCCTGACGGAGGGGCTGTCCAAACCGGTCTGCAAGAGCCACGCAAAGCAATGCTGCCTTCCAGTCAGCTCCCATGACTCTCCAAGGGATCGGCTTCCGACACTACACACAATTCCTGAGGGAAGGCCCTCGTGGGACCACAACAACGATCCAAGGGATGTCATCCGGTGGCACGGCAGGCTAGACACTTGGCTCTTAACTGCAAGGTTGGCGGTTCAGACTCGGGGAGGAAGATGGGGCTGTCTGTCTCGGAAAGATTCTGGTCTTGGAAGCCCCCTGCAGGGGCCACTGAGTTGGATTGGGCTCTCCTAAGCTCTAAACTGGGACGCTGAGGTGGTTAGTTTATTGTGCCAACCTGGCCGATAAACACAGGTGGGGTTAATTGAAAGTCAGATGCATAAATGGCTCAGTGAGCCTCGCCTTTCTAGTTCTTGGGCCTGCTTCAACTGGCAAGGCTCACTTCCTGCAAGACATCCCCAAGGAGAAGCCACATGGACCTACCCCCATGCAGCCCTGGGTGCTGGAGCAGCCGTGTGGAGACCCCTGCCAGCACTGAGATGCTTACACGTTCACTGACTCGGCTTTCCTCCAGCAGTGGGCGTCATTGTTTCTGTTTTGTGAGATGGAGGAGGACTTTGTGGATTAGTGTTGGGCATGTGGGTTAATGTTGGACTTGTGGGCTTGGGCAGCACTGGGTTGGGATGTTTTCTTGATGTGCACTTAACCTTTCTATAAAACTCTCTCTTATGCATGAGTTTCTGTGGATTTGTTTCTCTAAAGCCCCCAGACTGACACAGACATCTCAGGAACAGATGACAGGGCAGTGTAAGACGGCCTTCAGGTTCCTCCAGAGGCGAAACACAGAGTTACCATGTGGCCCGGCTGTTCTGATCCGAGGTCTGGCACTTAGCCGGGAGAATCAAAAACCTATGTAGACACCAGGCATTTTCACAGGGATGCTCACAGCAGCCTCATGGACAATAGCAACAACAAAAAAAAGAGACAAACCAAAGTCCACCAACTGATAAATGGCCTCGTGTACAAGATGTAGCCTACTCACACAACAGAATGCGTTTCCCTTTCCGTCACACAAAGGAATGACCTGCAGTTTCTTGCTCCAGCATGGAGACACCTTGAAAGCCCTGGGCGAAGGGAAGGAAGCCGGATACCGATGGACAGATATTATTTGATGCTATGGATATGAAACACCTCGTTAGACAGTAGATTGAAATTTGTCAGGGGATTCGGAGTGTGTGGGGTGACTATGTATGGGTCTGGAATTTCTTTCTGGAGTGAGGAAAATATCCGAGAATTAGATAACGGCGATGGTGGTACAAGTCTGTGAACAGAGGTCCGACTAATGCTCAACTCGTGCTCGCCCTTCCAGGCTGTGTGATGGTTGCCCTCCTTTTGAAATGCGTGAGCCAGTTCCCCCTCACAACGAGTCCTTCCTCTCGGGCAGCGTCACTCGCTACACCTGCAGCTTTTCAATCATTGAAAATGGTTAGAGCTGCTGCTTGCACTGAATCGAGCCCATTACCCAACCCATAAGGCTTTAATTTTAAAAAGAAAAAAACCAAAAACAGACCAAGGCTCTCCAGTAGCAAGACCACAAACCAAGAACACGCAGTGAAGAACGGAGGCAATCACGGGACAAAGTGGTGGCAGCGTGAGGTCTCAATCTAGCTCGAAGAAGCGGTCGATCGCTATCAGCCAGCACTCACAACCCTGGAGTCCAACTCTGGGAATATGCTGGTGGGGATGGGGCCTGGGGCCCCCCACATTGAAGAGGGGACCTTGGACTTGGAGCGCATCAACCGTTTGCCTTTACCGGATGGGTGTACATTCAGAGCCCCTCTGGTCAGCCCATAAGCCCTTGAGAAGAGCCAGAGAGGGATCCAGGAGGCCTCTACCTGCCCTACCGGACTGACTTGCCAACCCTCCAGTCAGGCCCACAACTCCCCTCGGCCTGAGGCAGGGCTGGGAGGATTAGGAAGCTGGCCTCTCTGTTGGCCTGAGTACCACCTGCCTCACAGGAGGGAGGGACAAGAGGATGGGCAGTGGGGACCAAGGTGTTCCTCTGTGGGAGTTACCTAATCTGTCTTTTTGAGATTTAAGAGTGAAGGGGTGGAGTTTAGTCTGCCAATCAGGTTGCAGCTTGATGACCTCATTTGGAGGAAATAGGAGATAAAAAGCTCACTGGAGGTGGGACACATGCTCACTCTCTGGGATACATTCCTGCAGACAAGGCACATGGGACCATGCTAGACCCCTGGAGCTGGAGGAGCCACGTGGAGACCCCTGCCAGTCCTGAGATGGTTCCACCGGCACTGGATCCACAAGACTTTCCACCCACTGGCCTGCAATCTTCCTACATGCGGCATCATTGCAGGGTTGTGTGAGTCTCTAGAGGAATTTATAGATTGGTATCAGACACATGGACTAATAACGGACTCGGGGACTTGATCTGGACTGGGATGGGACGTTTTCTCAATATTCAATTGCTTTTGTATATAAAGCTCTTTCTTACACACATATGAGGGTCGATGAATTTGTTTCTCTGGTCTACCCAGACTGACACACACCCTCTGTCTGTCCTGCCCTGAAGAAGTCATGAAGGTCTAAGTCAGACTTCCTCCCAAGCCTCTTGTTCTCCTTCCTCCTCCAGCCTGCCCCGTGGGCTGCTCTCGGACTGTGGGGCTGCTTTCAAAATTAGGCTCTTCCTTCAGGGCTGAAGTTTGTATCCTGTCTCCAGGGAGAATCAGAAAAAGCAGCTCGTGTTTGCAGCATGTAGTAGCTTCTGGTTGCTGCTGTCACACACTACCACAGACCCGGTGGCCTAAAGCAACACAGATGTGTTATCTCATGGTTCCAGAGTTTCCAATTCTAAAACGGCTTGCCGGACTAAAATCAAGGCTATGTTCCTTTCGGGTGCTCCCGGTCCTTGGCTCGTGCCCCCAATCTCCGTCTTCAAAGGCCAGCCACAGCCAGTAGATTCTTTCCCACTCCGTCTCCTTCTGATTCTGTGTCTTCTGCCCCTTCCACGTTGAAGGAATGAAGCATCTTTGGGAAGCCGTGGGTCTGCCTTCCTCACAGAGTCACCACAAAAGCAGTGTGGGTGGTTCTGCTGCTACAGTAGCGACAACTATTAGTAGGAGGAGGAGGAGGAGGAGGAGAGCAGGGACTACAGACTGGACACGCTCCGTGCCAGGATCTGTGTGCACAGTCATGTCACCCACAAAGAGGCCGGGAATTATTTTCAGCCTCCCTTCACAGATGAAGGAAACGGGAGCTCAGAGAGGTAAAGACACGTGTTTGACCAACAAGACAAAACAAAAGCCCAGCGTAAAAACAACAAACGCTGGAGAGGGTGTGGAGAGACCGGAGTCCTCCCACACTGCTGGTGGACCCGTAGAGATGAACCACCATTGAGGAAAGCACACGGGGATGCCTCCAACTCCTGGCAACAGAAATGCCATACGAGCCGGGTAGACGCGCTGTAGAAGTAAGAGACAACCCGAACGGACATCCATGCTCCGCCATGTTCACTGATGACCTCATCTGGAGGCTGTTCCTAATAGCCAACTGCCCATCGGTAGAAGGATAGATAAAGCAACTTCGGTGCATGCTCACAATAGAAGACTATGCATCACTGAAATAGGATGAGGCCATGAAGCGCCGTAGGCTCAAGCGACAAACCTAAGAACACAAGACAGCACCGCGGCGGCAGTGTTTCCATCTATGGTAACAAGGTCGCTGTGAGTCGGAATGGACTGGACGGCACCGAGCACTAGCCAACCACTAGGCACCTCGTGGCCTGGCGCTCATTATGCTGAGTGAAGTGAGTCAGTCACAGGAGGGCAAGTATTGTGGGAGTCCACTACTGTAGGCAAGTACTGTGGGAGTCCACTACTGTAGGCAAGTATTGTGGGAGTCCACTACTGTAGGCAAGTATTGTGGGAGTCCACTACTGTAGGCAAGTATTGT